GCGTGTCTGTGGAGTAGCCGGGAGCTGGTTCAAGTCGCAAAATTTTGCGCCAAAATGGACACAGAGAAGCCGCCACAAAACGCCGCTGAGAGTCCAGCTGGAGAATGAGAGCGCTAAGGACGCTTCTAGTGAGAAATTGGTTGGACAGTTTCCAAAATAGAACTCCACTCATCCAGGAGAAACCTAAACCCGTCTCCATTTTGCTGTCAAAACAATATTGAAGACCGTGGTCGACTATCAGAGAGTATTCGGAATGGATTAGTCGATCTCGGTAGCTTCTTCGGAATAAATGTTTTCACGCCAGCGCTTCCCTGTGGGGTCTGAGCACGACGGAGAGGGGAAGCAGATCAAATGTAGATTGACAAAGCGCCTACGTGATGACTGAGGCAACTGGTAGGCAGCAAAGGTTGGAGAAATGGAGAAGGCGGCGACGATAGGTATCGGTAGACAGATATTTAGAATTATTAAGAAGACTAGGGCGGAACGGTCACTGGCTAATGAAACTATGGCAGGGGAGGATTGACCTGTGATTTGCTTGGGGGAAACACAGCTAGAATCAGAGAAGTAACACTTTAAGGAACAGTTCAGCTAACCTCCAGCTGCTATCCAGTCGGACGCTGAACAGAAGGTGAAGGTTGCACCACTGACACAATTAGAAGTTGAGAAGACTGTGCGTAAAGTGGAACAGGGAAATGCAGGCATGTCACATGGACTAGTGCCGGAATTATTTATCAGTGGTGGCCTTGGTTAACTGAAGTGTCGGTTGGCACATGGGGATCTGATATGATCCTCTCTGACCATCCCACCCATCTAGAAAGGAGGGAAAATACTCCTGTGGTAAACACAGATGAACTAACCAGTTGGATAAAAAGTCTAGGACTCTAGTTTATATCATCATTGGACGTCTGAGTGGAGATAGGGAACAGGGAAGCAGGAATGTTTCACACCTGGAGGTGGACGAATACACCAGACGCTTGTACTCCTTAAGGTCCTGGAACACTGAATCCGTTGGCCATAAGATGTGATAGAGGTACAAGGCAGGTATATCGCTCTGTTGAAGACTCTGTACTCGAACACCGGTGGGCGTACTAAAGCCTATGGTGAGCCACCAGGTGAGTCACGTACTTCGAGCGATGTGTATTCGTATTTCATTTTGTCGTAGATGTACCCGTGGTAGTCTTCTTCTCGCCATGGGGCCAAGAGGGACGGGGGGTCAAGACCTACACCATCTAAATTAGTGTGCTCGTCTACCCCGATGGCCGCAGCAACACTGAAAGCTTCCCTGTCCATGAGACAGTCCGAAAACTAAGGCCCGTACGCAGCCAGATAGGTCACAAAATAAACGAATCAAAAAGAACCAAGGGAACCGGGGACCAGGCCTTTTCGGATCGCTTGCGGCCAAAACCTGGGGATAAGAGGGAACCTGCCCGCCAACAGGTCGCAAATAGACCGGGTCCCGGCCCTCAGCTGTGACCTTTCGCGCAAAAAGCTGTACACTTGAAAAGCGCCACCGGCTGCGTTACAAGCAGGGAGCAGTAACTGCGCTTGCGCAAATGCATCAGGTCCATGTAAAAAATCAATGGGCTACGTGAATTGTAAAGACTTGTTGATGTTCATGCAAAGCGTTTTCAAAACATAGGACTCTTCCAAGGTTGCAGTTCAGCACACTGTTGTTCTGCAGCAGCTAGACTAAAGGAAAGGGAGGTGAGGTGGCTTCCCACATCGCTTCTGTCCTCGTAGCTCACCGACTTCATGGCTGAATTCCACTACCTGTAGGAGTTAGTGTGATATTCACTAGAAGTATTCAAGACCTCAAGGTACGCATAGTCACTCGGATAAAGTTGTGCTAGAAGTTGGTGGGGACCATCTCAAACTGCGTCACGTTCATATGTCGCCTCAGCATACTTCGGTCTTCCTAGAGTCACTTTCCTAGACCAGAGTACAGTGGAACCGACTATTCCAGTGACGTTCCATTCCCTAAACTTGTTGAAGAGCATGGACTAGCCGAAAATGTGACGTCATGAACTTGATGAAGAGATAATCATATCCCCTCTCACCTAGATCACATTCTCAAAAAAGGAGAGTTCTTGGTGGATCATTTGTTAGACCCTATGTTCACGACTAACCCCGGAATAATTTACTTGGGACAGTCACAACGTAGCAAGCTAGAATGTAGTGACAGTGGCAAAACATGTCTATTTCAAGGACCTTGGTCAGTAAGTAGAGCAGGTAGACCTGAACAAGTTCAGTAAAGGTTAGTTATCATTCAACGGAGGTCAGTGGGTAATCAAGTTTAACAAATCTTATAACACTCCTTTCACTGGTAGTTTTGTCGTCTTTAGGTCTAAATATGTCTCGAAAGCGGAGGATACCCGTTCCATGAGCTAGCGTTAGCCCACTTTAAGCCAAATTGACACTTTTGCCCTTCAGTAGGCTCTGGAAAACCAATTAGGACTGGCAAGGTGCGAAAGGCTGTCGTATGTTCATGAATAACACAACCATGTGTGTTATAAACCACTGAGTCCCGCTTTCGGCTCCCGGGCGTCGTGAACAACTACGGATAGAACGCAGTAACAGCCTCAAGTTTCTGAGCTTAAAAATACACCAATGGGCTAAGGATAAGAGAAACGGCAGTGAATTAATCCACAAACAATACAATGATACAAGAAATCTTCACGTTAATGCCTTGAAATGTGACAAGTATGGATACTAATCCTGGTTCACTATTACGTTTAAACTAAATCCAAAAAACCTTTTCTCTCCACAGTATCTCGGCTGACCAATGTTCGTAAACCTCCCGGTCATTGACGGCCCCCATTAATTCTTCTAAGTGTCAAATAGGAACAGAAAAAAATGTTGGCCACTGATCTGGGTGTCAACTGGGTGCAGTACAAGCTTGGAATCCTAAGAAAGGGCATGTCTTTGGGTTCCGATAAAATTCATACTACTGTCCTTCGTGAGGGTCACATTCCTTACCGAACGCCTCAGCATATTCCCTACACATTGCCTTAACCACTGCATGATCTTGAAATTAGTAGTGGCCAACGGGGATGCTCAGTGAAACACAAACTTTCGGGGCTATATTCCACGCCCTCAGAGGCGACGAATTCGTCAACTTACAGTGGTTTAGGCCACTACCTGACACCCAGTAACTCCTTTAGGGCCCACAAACGTGACGTTAGAAAAGGATGGTCATTTGTCACTAACTTACTAACCATAGTAAATGTGTGGACTATCAGTACTGATCGTCGTTCGTCATTTATGTGCATGACTTACCTTTGCACTTGTCTCTTGAAATTCTTACGTTTGATGATGTGAAACCACGAGGAGGAATAAGAGGATCAGATACACTGCACAAGATGATTTGACCCGACTTCAATGCTGTCAGGTACAATGGACTGGCCTTCACTTCTGAAGAATGAAGGTTGTTATATATTGGCATGATGTGTGTCACACATTCGTATCAAACAGTAAAAAGCTGGAGGCTTCTGAGCTAGAGAGGGTATTTTTGGGTCTTAGTCTGAAAATACCTTGAATCTTACTCCGACAAAAATGCAAATCTGGCGCCTGCAACCCCGAGACGAGCTTTTAGACAGACCTGTCACAGGCATTTCTGCAATATGTTCACCAGTTTCCTGCAGGTTCAGCCAGTGTTCGGGACTAACGTATTTGCTACTTCACTTTAAGAGGATAATAACCATTTAGGGGGTATCCAAAGGTGCTGCACTGAATTTATGGACTAAGGCTCAAGCCACGCGAGGAACGTATCGCAGGAATGAATCTATACCTCTTGGAATATAGAAGACCGAGAGGTGACTCATTATTGACGTATAGCATCTCAAACGCCTCAGATAGTCGGGTTCATCACTTGCGTAAGCTAACATATCCTTCCTAAGTTTTGATCGGAAGCGCCACCCCATGGGTGACAGTTAAGAACAGAGAACGAGAGAGGGCGTACGAGGGTTTGTGCTAACTCGTTTGAAGTTAAGCTTCATGAACTGTAGAACTCCCTTCCTTCAGCGGTTGTTACAGTCCCATCCACTGATACTTTCAAAGGGAGGTCAGATGGACATCCTAAGTCTCGCGGTACTGGTGGGATGTACTTGAGAAGCTCTCCGTCGCATAGAGATCACGAGCAGTAGTACTACCTTTAGACGCGATCTGTTAATGATCGATTGTCTCTATCCTTTCAGGTTTTTTGGACCAGGAAGACAATTCCAACCACTCCAAACCTAGAACCTACTCCAGTAGGACAGACATAAAATCCAGGGAACCATGGTTCACTAATTCTACGACACGAAGTTTGAAGTTTAAACTCTGGTCTGAATCTTAGGGGAACACCCAGCAATTAGAGCTTCAACATAGCAGAACAGACATTGAGAGTGACCTTAGTGCCCTAAAATTCGCTGGTCCTTAAAACGCTGCCGTAGAATTGGTTCGGGTTTTATCTCTGGACTGCCTTCAAGAAACTTAGTGACCACTCAAGTTCACAGAGTGAACCTACAAACCAAGTAGCCGGTAACCTGGTCATATTAATGTCATCTACCCTTCTTACTTTTGTCTCTACGTCCATAGTCTTGGATGAAGAAATAAGTGGTTTACTGGTTCTGCCAATCCATCTCATACATGGATAAAAGTTGGAAAATTTCGGGGTCTACTACTTCGCGAAAGGGAAGCTCGTTAAGCAAAAGCGTCTTCAATTCTGATGTTGACCAACTTGAAGCTTTTACCGGATAGCCACATTCCGTAAATCCGATGATACAATTTACTTGAAGTTATCAGTGTTCTTAGCTTCAAACTTCAAACTTCGTGTTACAGAATTAGTGAACATCGGTTCCTTCGGTTCTCCGTCTGTCTTATTGGAATACGTTCTCAGGCAGTGGTTTAGAAGAAGTTAATAGTTTATTTTCAGGGGTAAGAAACGGTTGCAGTGTTTTATTTTATTTGCGGAAACAGCAAAATTGGATAAGACTTAAATGGCATCAATTTGGATATTTCTTGTGACCTTGTGGGTCATACTCAGTACAAACAGCCAGGTTGTGATGGATTTAATTGAGACAAATACTTTCTTCATAGTCGTTAACGGTAGCCAAGCCTTGTATTGTGATCGCCTAGCTGGAAAGCTAACTGTTAGGCACGGTAGGTTACCATGAATAAGAATGAGTTTTAACCACCAATCTCCAATTTTGTACTATATTAGTGAATTATCCTATTTTTTACGGACTACTCACTTAAATGGATATCATACTTAGCAATTAAAATGCGTTTGCACCTGATATTTGCTGTTTTCGCACAATTCGACCTCTTTATTTGTTTTGGAACAGAATACAAAAGTTCCAATTGGGATCCCAATTGTAAGTCGACTTACAAGTCCAGTTCTTAGTACCATGCAGGACGAGTTTGTGGGTTTGCAACAGTCGTACCATGTCGGTCTGGTGTTAGTCTCAACTGAAAGCTAATTGGCCTTGCTTGAAGTGGTTGGCCCCTACGTTTTCTCTAAACAAATCATTCAAAATATAACCCTGTGTTTGCGCTCTAGGCAGGGCAAATCCTTGTGGGATATTTGACTAGGATTAGCTTTCGATATATGCCGTATTATGCAAAATCATCTGAGCTCGACTTCCAAACCACTGGTGACGATTTCTTAGCGTTGAATTACAGAGAAACGACTAAATTTCTTCCGCCATAACCCAACGCAAATAGTGAGGAGATAAAGAACTGATAGTTCCTAAATTTTGACATCTAGATATTCAGGCTCTGTGTTTTTTTCGGTTGAACTCATACTTTGAACACTGAACTCTTCAGATTACCTACGAATGGCCTTCTAGGCAGTAACTGTCTGCTGGAAGTTTTCTTGTGGACTAGATGTTTAAACGAGCTGCTCATGAGGTCAATACACCCATTGAGATCTTTGTCTGGTTAATATCCAACTGGAACAGCATAAATATACAGAATATAAATATACATTTGGGCCAGTCGATGGTTGAATTTACTTGCAGTAGTTGACACCAACACACTGAAAAGACTGATTTTTCGTGAATAATGATCAGTTTGCAGTAAACCGTTGTGTCTGTGAAAAGTGGGTGCCAGCGACTCACGCAGCTTTCGCCTGAAATAGGTGCAATGTGGCTATGATAAGGGGCACCACCTCTGCTACAAATAAGTGACTAGATGTACGTAAGATTGTATAACAGTATAAAAAGGGTAAAAGAACAGGTGCAATCGTTCTCGATAACTTACACACAGGAAACTATAAGACAGATCTCGACTTGTTTGGTGTTTTTACACTCAAAAATTGACTTTTAAAAAAGAGCAGTAAGACAAGAAAAAGTGGGATGACTACTACAAGGTATCAAGAACAAGACCCATTAGCGTAAAGTTATGCCAGCTCTGTCAAGAAAGCAAAGCACCTTGAGATAAACTGCTAACCATCATGGTGTCAAACTTTAATTACCTGAGTTTTTTCGGTCCCCCTCTTCTCCCTTGTACTTTGTTTAGTTCAGTCGGCTGCGTCACAACTCTGTTTCAACAAACTGCATGGATTTTGATGTAATGGATGTCGCTATTGTCGGTATTTCACCTGAGGTGTATATTAGTTATCTATTATAGTGAGGATAGCACTCCCCCACTTTTACACTAAATGTTTATGTGGCTTGACTTTCCTTTGTAGGTAGGTTTTGGGAGCTTGTAGCCCGTGATTTCTTGGGATTTAATAAGTCTCTAAGGTTGCCGTTGGTTAGCTTGGGTATTTTATCAGCATTCAAGACATATGTACCACATCTACTTTCATGGCTATTTTTTCGTTTAGTTGTAGTAAAAAGCGTACCACTATCTCCTTAAAACAGCACTCGGCAACCCTGCGTAAATTCGTGCAGTAGGCAATGGGGCACCTATTACGTGAAGGCTAGTGATACTTTCTGGCTCTCCATACCTTGGTAGGTGGAGCGCTTTTCGAACCTCTGACTCACTGTTTGACAGTCACGTACTTGAACCATTGATCCACAGCTTCACCATCTCTCTGCTCGATTGAGTTCCTTGGTATAAGTGGACTTTGTGGCTGGTTCGGGATTGGTGTGGGGATTTCAGATCCCGGGGATGTTGCCGTACTAAACTTGAGTGATGTCCTTCAGGAATGCCCATTCTCTCCCTTTCTATTCAATTTTACCATAAAGTTCCAGTGGAGGTTTCCCTCTCATCATCTAACCACAGAGGGATTGACATGATCAAAGGAGGATTTTCGGTAGACCTAGAATACGCATATGACATAGTCGTGTTGGGTGAAGTCGCTGACAAAATGCAGTCTTCTGGACACCTTGAATGGTAATTTGAGAATGTTTGGGATGCCTTTCTCATCACCTAAATGCAAATTTTTGCTCAAGGAGTGGTTTTCAACTGTACTCCGACTAACAATGGAGAGTTAAGTGGTTGAGTGCGTCGGACACTTCACACCTAGGAAGTCGGATCAGCCCTGGTGCGTCGGTCACAGGGTGAGAAAATCTCTGCACAGACGCAAAAGGCTCTGTTGGCTTTCGCCAACTTACGCCATTTGTGGCGCCACCACGATATCCGATTTTCTGTTAAGGGTTGAGTGTACTGCAGTCCTCCCTGTTCTACTGTATGGTTTTGAAACATGGGCACTATAGGTCGGAGACATGAGAAGGGTTCTAGTGTTTGACTACCTTTGTCTTCGTAGCCTAAACCGTGTTTCGTAGTGTCACCAGAAGTTAGACGAAGAATTTTAAGTAGGAGAGGTAAGGTAGCTGATGCTGTTGTGAACCTTCATCGACTGAGATGGCTGAAAAATGTGTTACTCATACCTAACTAACGTCTGCCTCGTCACACAATGTTGGCCGAAGTATGTCAGGCTGGAAAAAGGCTCGGGAACGGCGGCAGACTAAAACACGACATCAATGCATGAAGTCCTTGGCTGTTGGTTTCAGCCATGTAGGGTGATGCAGACTAGCTGGTTGAATTTCACGGGACAAGAGAAACAAGTGGTTGGAAACTTTTGGTGATATTGCTGAGAACCGATGTCATTGGCGCAAAGGTATGCCCACATTATCCTCATCTTAATCCCTATACTAAATCTCATCATCCTTCCTTCCTCTTTTTTACTACTTTCCACTTCTACTTCCTCTAACCGATTTTTCTTTCCTTCTTCATTTTCCATTTTATTGCCTTGTTACTTGATGGGCTGATATGAGGTGTGGCTGGCAAGTTGAACCGTTACGCATTAATGCATGGTCCTATGCTGATGATCATGAAACTCATTTTTAAACACTACTTTCTAGCTGATTCCTGACCACGTTATATAGGTAAACGTTTTTGGCCTCTTGCTGTTTACCATTGCAGTTTAATTTGAGCAGGAAGTATAATTTATGAGAAGTACAAAAGGGAGGAGAGAAAAGGTTCAGGGGTTACCTTAGTCCAAGACGCTTGTTATTTTATCTTTTCAACTTGATCATAAACTTTGACCAAAATCTTTAAAGAAGTATGTGGATTCCAAGGAAGTCAATTGTTAATGAGTGATTTCCGAAGAGAACCAAAGGCCTCATCAGTTGGAGCGTACAAATACGGTGAACCTTCAGGAGGTAGTAATTGCGAGTTGTGAAGATAATTATCTTGTTGTATTAGACAAAATTCCACGTCCAGTTGCTTGTTTCGTTTTCACTTTTTTGATATGATAAAAAGCTGTTTCCTGGTGGTTTTTGCCGCAGAGACTACATAATAAATGGAAAGCAGTGATGCACGTTAACATTCAACGTGGCGTGCCTTCATATTAGCTCCAAGCACTATATATTTTATCTCTCTTTTATTCCTATTTCGATTATTTTACCACATGAATAAGTTTTTATTCTCTGCATGAGTTATAACTCGATACTGTTTTCACTCTTTGGCATACATGTATTTCACAGGCACTGGATCCCACTTTTACTTTGTGATAACACATCCCAATTTTTCTACTGTTTGTAAATATTGTTCGCCTCATGAGAGTGTTGTTTTGGTAGTATGTCTTCAGTTGGTGTAGTTTGGAAAGAGTCTTCTGAAAATCAGAATGAGTGTATGTTATCATATAAGTAGAAAATTCATCCACTACCCATTTATCATTTACTCTAGATCAAATGCTGAGCCGAAACTAAGGCAGAGTCAAATGTTGCGAAATCCCGCCTTTACCCTTGTCTTCAGTAAAAGATTAGTACTTTGCTTGCTGGATTCAGGTGATACTTTACTAATCGTTAACTGTAGTCGGGTTGACTTACAGAAACCTATATATTCTATAGATTTACTCGATAAAATGCTACAGCTAGAAATTATGAGACATGTAAAATTTTTAATGGTAAGACGTGGAGGGTAGAATTTAGGGTCGTATCTTTTGATTCTTCATATACTCGTTCTATCTTGAAATTGCTCAATACTTTTCTTATTATGCATTTATATTAGCAATGTGCTTTCCATTATCTTCATTATGAACTAAGTTATGCAGGTAAACATGTCCAAGCATTTCGTCTTTTTTAAGCCACCCTTAACTTGAGGTTAAATTGACCGATGAGAGTTGAACTGACCATTCTTTCATTTTTGTCGAAGAATAGGGCACTGTTGTAAAACAACTCTACAATACAGCAACCCACATCTTGTTCCACTGTGGTTCATTTACCTAAGAGGACAGCTGGCAATCTTTCGTTTGATTTTGCGTTATTGTTAAGAGACGTAAGAGAAAGTTTTATTTGGCGGTAAAGTCTTTCCACCACTCTGTTGGGAATTGGTCGGTATTATGCAGCACATATTCTATCAATGTCTACAGCTGAAATACCAGACTTTTGAATTAGCAACCTTAATCTGTCTAAATAGTTAATATTTAAAAATTAGCAATCCAGAGTCTTCAGCAATTATTGTAGCTTATGTTTCTTCAAGACGGATATCGATTATCCATCTTCTAAATCCGTCAAAACAGGTTGGGATGTCTATAAACGTATCAGGAGGTAACGTTTTCACTAAATCGACGTGTGTGCGGTAAGATATAGCATTACATAGTGGAAATCTACCCGGTTAAATCATTTTATATCAGTAGACTTTCACACGTTTGCCTTGCCAGAATCTTTGCGGCCAATTATTGAAGTTTCGGTTCATACTTGGACGAAGAAGATTATCAGTAATCATTACAACGTGGTATGTGTTCACAGCCTCTGCTAGAGAAGTCCTATTCAATGCGTTCCTATGTCGGGGGTTTACACTGAAGTGGAAAGGGTTTAAGCGAATGTCCGGGGCTTATAACTGCAGTGGTGGATACTGACAGTCCATCTATCGGGGTTGGAAAATCCTAGTTGCAGTGTTGCACATAAGCTCCGGGTTCAAAATGGAACGAATGGCATATGAACCTATTTTGGTCACTGATCACCATAGGAATGCGGCTCTTGATGTTGATCCACTGCCTTGTGAATCAGTCAAAGCCTCGAGGATTGGTCCCCTAAGACAACCCCACTCTCGGTCTGGGCGCCCGGGCAGTTTCTCAGCCCTCACCCGAAGTATGGATTCACAGTATAAAATGAAGATTTCGAAGCAATTAAGCAATTTTGTTTCCAATATTCAAGCTCTCCGGACTATGAACTCTACAATCGGTTGTTCAATTTATTGCTACTATGTTGTTTTGTTCGGTTTTGCATATGAACTGCCTTTTTTTATCATTATCATTTTCAGCTTTGTCTTTATCTTCACTTCACTCAACTGCCCTCCACTGCTTAGACTTCTAGTCTGTCTGCACCGTTTTGAGTCGCCAAACAGTTGCTTCCATAAAGCTGTCTTCCAGTGCGACAAGTGACATGGTTATCCCAAAACCACGCGCACCGTTTAAGCTCGCTACCTTCAACGTTTGCACGTTGATGCGAATTGGATAACAGGTAGTTTTGACTCTGACTCTGGAAAGCCTTGCTCTTAATGTATGCTGCACCTCAGAGACCCGCATAAAGGATTCCAGTGATGTGATTCGAATTAGCTCCCCATCTATCGACTCGAAAGTATATTTAATTTGCGCTTATCCGGGGATCCTGTGGCATCAGCAACCGGCCTCGCTGGTATTGGTGTTGCACTCGAACCGAGCCTGCACCACTCGACTAGATCCCCACCTACAGTCGTCTGTGTTCTGTTATGCTAGAAGGTCAATCTCGAATAAAAAGTAACCGGTAAGGAAAACGATATCTGTTTATCGTATCTGCATATGCTCTGACTGATTGTAGCATGGATGAAACCAAGGATGAATTCTGTCATCAACTGAGTGACCTCAGCCAAGTATGCTCGACAGATATCGTAGTGCTACCTGGTGAATTGAATGTGCAGGTTGGGTGCCTAAACTCGGAGAGTCGTTTAGATGGTCAGTGGGGACTAGTTGGCTGCAGGTCTGATAATGTGGATCGTCTTCTGCAGCTTTGCACAGATCATAAACCATTTCTAGCCATCACCAACTTCTGGGACAGCTATGGCCGTTGTGCTGCTTGACGTCATCTGTCTGCCACTCTAACCTGGACTCAAACAAACCATATTGCAATCACCTACCGATGGCGTGGGTGCATAAAGGACTGCCACTTCATATGGAGTACTTCTCTGGACTCTGATCATGTTTTAGTGTGTGCTTATCTTGTTTCGCGTTTTGGCAGTCATCAAAACCATCTTGCTAAAGAGGTCGTTGCAAGCAAATTAAGTGCATCAAGTAATCGCAGCTTAACCCCAATCCGAGCTAGACTTAAGGCTAGCCGTTGATTATCTAGAAAGTGTAGACGAACATTGGCTGCATTTGAAAGACGCCATGAAAATGGAGAGTGAAACCAGATGTAGCTTGGAAGAATGTCCCACTAAAAAACACTGGGTCTGCAAGCTCCTTGTGACTTCTTGACACCCGTTGAACCATTTTTTCGGATAGCGAGCACGATGGTTTGCGTCTCTTATGAGAAGGGTTACACGGCGCTTACACAAGGGCCGTGAGGTTTGGTGATCAGAATGCACGAGTAAGAGGGAAGTGGCAGCTGCATCTGACAATAGTCGAAAGCTGTTCCAGCTCATCTGAGCCACTAGTAGCAAGAAGCCTGGTATCAGCGAGACTGACTGTGAGGTAGATGGTACGCCGATAAACAACCTTCAGAGACACCTGGGACACTGGCCGGAGCACTGCTCCAGCATTGTCAGGTTCAATGTATCGTGCTTCATGGTCAGTTAACACTGACCCACCCAACAAAGCGGAGGCCCATAAGGAACTCCAAGTTCTAAGACGCCACAAAGCACCCAACCCAAACAACTTGTCCCCGGCTCTTTTTAATGATGGAGGAACGACTATAGTCAGTGAATTGACTAGATTGTTTGAGAAGGTATGGGAGGCTGAGGTTGTTCCATCACTCTAGAATGAAACAATCGTTGTGCCCATCTTTAAGAAGAGCGCACGTAATGTATGTGACAGTCGTCGAGGTATTAGTCTGTTATCACGCGTCGAAAATATTGGCTGATATCGTATTTCACAAACTTTTCAAACGTGTGAGGAGGTGATTCGCTAGGAGCATGCTGGGTTTTGTTTACGTGGTGGATGCATTGATTGTGTGTTCACCCTCCGCCAGATACTTGAACATCGCCATACATATTGCAGGCCGACAATCGTTTGGTTCTTGACATTCAAGCTGCCTTTGATTCGTTGGACAGAGCTGTACTTCGGAATTATCATTTAAGGAGGGGTGTACCTGAAAAACTTATCAACATCTTGAAAGCCCCATATAATAACACAGGTAAAGTAGGGGTATGCAACCACCTGTCTCCCGTGTTACAAACCAGTAGTGGGGTAATGAAGGGTTTCAAGATTCCTCTATTCCCTTTAACTTTGCCATCGATGACATTATTGAGACAGCTCTGAAGGAGGTGCATCATGGTGGTGTAGACCTACTATCTGGAGAACGATTGTTCGACTTTGAATATGCGGACGATATCGTCTTACTGTGCAATAACACAGAGGCTATTCAAATCTCGCTTAATCAGTTGGCAATTATTGTCCGTATGATATGTGCTTTGCACTATCGAAGTGCAAAGTACTTTTGCAAGATTTGGAGGGGCATGTGCATGCGCTCTCCCTTGGTGGTGAGCCGTTGGAAGTAGTCGAAAAGTTTGTGTATCTGTGTACTCGTACGATTTCTGGTGGAGGTGCATAATGAAATTTCTAACCAGATATCGAAAGCCAGAGTGGTATACGCTAATCTGGGACACCTTTGGTGCCATCGCGACGTTGGTCTGACCGCAAAAGGTCGGGTTTACAACACTTCGTTGCGAGCAGTTCTGCTATACCCCTGTGAAATCTGTCTTCCCCAAGCTGAGGATGTGCGACAACTCTATGTGTTTGATCATCATTGTCTCCGTATTATTGCTCGTATCCGGTGGCAACACCATATAAGTAATTCTGAGGTACGACAGCGTGTGTTTTGGCATGATGGAGATCGTCACTCAACAAGTGACGTCATCTTAAAACACCGGCTTTGATGATTTGGACATATGTTACGCATGTCGTTCCAACAGCTTCCATACCATTCATTGTTTACTAGTCCTGGGACTAGATGGAAGAAGGAGAGGTGGTCAGAATCTAACGTGGCGCAGTGGGATGAAGGATAGTTGTGTCGGGTTAGGATCTGTCAGTACATCACGACTTCGTGGGTGGGTTCCGAGGGACCACGCAATTCAGAGACTTGAGATGTTATCAGATATGTCTCAGAATGGAAACCAGTGGCGGCTATGCTGTAGCTTCCTTCTATCTTCTGTTTCTGAAAAGTAATGAGTGTTTTGTTTCGAATCTATGTTACTGGACTGCTGTTCTAACCATTCTATTCGTAGTGTTTTTCACCCACTCCCCGTCGCTTCATTTCCTCAAAATAGTGTTATATTATTTTGTGTGGCGCAATTTTTTGTGCCATTGTTGTACCATTTTTGTGTTCCAATAATAATAATAATAATAATAATAATAATAATAATAATATAATGCAGGGAGAGTTATTATTCCGTATTGTTTAGGGTAGTGTAAATCAACCCACTACGGACTTACGTACTGGATTTTGAGTGGTATTTTTTGGCTGTAGAGTTGAAACATGTAAAGTAGAATGACACAGATATCCTGATATTAATTCATTACTGCTTCTAAAATGTAGGTTTGCAGACTTCGACTTTAATTGTACATTTAAGTTATAAAATGCTTTTCACAGTTTTCCATAAATTTAAAGTTTTGTTATTTTCACTCTCTCGTTTTGGTCGGTATTTATTTAGCATCTGAGGTATTCAACGAATGGAATCCTGTTTGTTTGGGTAAAATTGATGGTGTTATTGGGAAAATCCGTTATCATCCAGGTGGGTAGCTTTGTTCAATAATCCACTTATCAAATCTTCAATATATATATACTACAACTTACATTTCTGTATGTTTTCATGCTATGTTGATATTCAAGTCTGGTTTTTTTGTAGTCAGCTGTATCGTACTGGGTATTATTAAAGTGAGTATAACTTCACATCGATCGGTGGAGTTCGCCGAAGGTGAATAAAATTCTAAAATAATTTGTCTTGCCTTCCATTATTGATGAGAATTAACTCACGAATGATGTAAAGGTTTGGAAAGAGTTATAAATACTAAACTGTCATAAAATACACAGTCCAAACGTATAATCTACAGATCTTCTCAAGAATAGGGACAAGACTGGTCAGAAGGGTGTCCAAATTTGATTAGTGGTTGGTGATATTGGAATGTAGTGTTTAAACTGTTCAGGACCAAGACTGTCACATCATTTTTGTTTCGTACATTTATAAAAAAATGGTTTGCAATGTGCATATAAAAATCATTGGAATATTAGTCTATTACCAGTTTCCAAAATACTGACTAAAAAAAGAAATGCACCCGGCAACCACTGACACCTTCATGCAGTAAGCAATGAGCCACATCTACTGTTAGAGCTAATGATGCAACCTGGCTACCCAAACATCGGTAGGTTAAGTGGGATTTGAACCCACAGTCTGCTGATTAAAATTCAAGTGCCTTAGACCAATGATCCAAATGAGTGGAAAAGTTATGAAGAACAGGCTGGCTTTCGACTAAACTTTAAAAATATTGATCATTTACTCACCTTACGTCAGACATCTGAACACTGTCGCCTGTGCTGTATGTTAACAAACCTATATCTTGACGCCAAACCTTTCGATTTGTTTGACAGATGTGCTCTCTGGATTGTCTGTAAAATGAGTCCCATTCAGCAACACCTCAGGTAGACTAAAGCTGTACAACCATCTCTCCACATTGGTAATGTACTTGAGATGGATCTAAAAGAGGTGTATGCTGGTGGTGGTAGTGATCTGTTACCAGAAGAAAGATGTTCTGGCCTTCATTATGCGGAAGATATCACTTTGCTATTCAGTAATACTCATTCTAAAATCTAGTTTAATCAGTTAGTAATTAGTGTCTGTAAGTATGGTATATGTTTTGCATTATCGAAATATGAATTACTTCTAAGTGTTGACAAGAGTCTATGTTTCGACTCACCTCTGTTGATAAATGTAGAGGGATGGTCGAAAAGTTCTTGCATCAGAGCAGCTGAAGGAATGCTAACGGAAATTTAACAAATGAGACGTGTTCATGTAGCAGAAGTCAGATTGGAAAGTGCCTATCTGCTCAACTTTTGATGCCGACACAAACTTAATTTAAGTATAGAATGTCTGAGGCAAAATACTTCTATGCAGTTATTTTTGCTGTACCCTCATGAAATCTAGCATTCATAAAGTAAGATTGTTAGGCAACGCTTTCTTTCCAATAACCTTTTCTTCTGTAGGATAATTGCATTTTAAAGGCTATTATGAAGGAATTACTAGTTGATTGTTATGTTGTAAACTATACATTATGTTATGGCTAAGTGAGTTGTCTTCATGAAATGAGATTATTGACTATTTGTATCTACAAAACCCGAACTGAATAATGATGAAGTAGACTGACAAATTGACTACTGGTTTATTGTTATACATTTTGACACTTAATGAAATCATACTGTTATCTGTGTTCATAGGATAAAGTTAAAAATCATCTAAATCAGTATCATCTAGCAAATAGTGTACAGGAAACGAAAATTGAAGATGATGGTCATTAGACGGTGAGTTATTTCTCAGCAAAGAATGAAAGGATATCTCTTTACTTACTCTGACAATAGTGTCACTGTGCGAGTAATTCAGCGGCTGAACGTTAAAGGTTTCTCTCTTCTTCTATCTTTGAATAGTGGTACAAAAGTAACTATTACTCTCTAAATATATCTTGTGAGACTGTGTATCTCCCTTTTATCCTTCCATTAGTTCTTAACCCTCTTTTCCATGAGATCTTGATTATTTTTTTGTTACGTGGTGCATTTTTATTAGTGTTATTATTGTGTCACATTTTGTTAAGATAAAATGAAGAGACTGGGTTAGTTGGATAATTTAAGAAAAGAAAATCGCTGCCAGGCCTTCTCCATATCTGTAAGATATACGAAGGATGAAAAATGCTTTTTTGAGAACATAAGTATAAATCATTGAACTCTTCATGTTCTTTTCTCAAGAGACACTTCAATGGGTAACCATTCATAGGTTTAAGGGTTATCATAGACCTTTTCCTAAGCGAATCACTTTTCCAATGTTACACAAATCATGTGATTGCACGCAGTGTGAACTATTTTTGTCAAACTAAGGAAATAGAAAGGATGAGTAATGGTTAGTAGTAGAATCCAGCCTCATGTGCATATTCTTTAGCGCATTTTTGTTTCCTTTGGGACGTGAACCCAGCATTCATCTCTTTGAATACCCCTAACATTATGCACTTGATTATTGCGTTACGATAGTCACTGTTTATTCAATAGGTATATTCTTATGTCTTAGCTTTTAATTCCTTGCTTTCTTGTTTGATTTTTATTTGTAGTCGGTCAATTTTTTTCTCTGAAAGTACTGTAATCTTATTAGTTTAAATCTTCCTACTCACTGCACGACAACTCGACTTCATGGCCAAAATCTAATGTTTTCTCATTTTCTACGAAAATTTTTCTGTTTGTTTATTGTTTCCTGTTTAATTCTGTTTCTCTTATGCTGTGATGCATAAACTTTCTAACTAAAGGAATTCATTGAAAGTAGAAAATTTTACATTTATAGGTAAATAACTTTAGTATTTGACTATGGCGTAAATCAATGCTCAGCTGTTTTATTTTTAAGATGTCACCTTGACATGCTCAAGTTTTCCCATCGAGTATTGTCCCCTTACTGTGCTGCATGGAGTTAAATTTTGGACTTACAGACTCTGTATTATTCTCATAGATGGATAAGTTTTGTCTTCTTCTCCATATATAGTCTCACAAAATGCGCAACATATATCGAAAGTGTTCTTTCTGATGCTAGTGAAGTAAATTTGATCCTCTAGGGTTTTTTTATATGACTCGTGTTTTAGGCAGTTTTTGTACATGATTATCTGTCATGCTATCCTTTTGTAGCAGGAGAAAAAGTCTTTTCTAAGAGTTTCTCAGTATAAAATCTTTAGGTGAAATCAAACCTGATTGAATTGGACCTTAATAAACAGCTAGGCTGGTTGCGTGTATGTAACACGTTCGCATCTTGTTGTGGCTGAAATTTCTTTAGGTTTATTCACTGCATTTGCATATACTGGGTTTATCAAATATCGATTAGAAATCGAAATCCACTCAGTAACCTTGTGCGAATTCGTGCGGTAGGCAATGAACCATGAGCCATATTTACAAGATTGAGGGCTAGTGGAAACGTAAACCTCGGTAGGTGGAGTGTTGTTCGAACCCACGACCCAGTGGTTGAAAGTCATCTATCTAGATCAATAAGTCACAACTTATGAAATGTATGACCTGATGTAGATTACTTTTCATCTGTAAGCTTGTTCTCCCGCTTTTGCACTTACGACTCTGATATGCTTATGATACGTCTTTCAAAAATTGCTTTGAAGTGTTATCTAAAAAAACGTCAACTGCTAGCTGATTATTTGCTGGTTTGACTGACTGAGTGATTAATTAAACCTTTGTCGTACAAAATCTTATTGATCTCTTCTTCACTTCAGTAAAGACATTTTATTCTCAAATAATAGTAATTGTTAGTTAAGTCACTAATGATCTAAGCATGTGCCTAGTTATATATATATATATATATATATATATATATATATATATATATATATATATATATATATATATATAGTAGTAATGGCATGTGATTGACTATAATTAAAATAAAGATTTACAATTCATGGTAAAAAAGAACGTTTTTGATTTTTTCCTTGAAATTGTTTCATGAAATCAGGCTAGGTAACCTGATCAGCATCAATATGTGATTGAAACTTTTGTCGAAAAAACATTTCCTGCCTGAAAATACGAAACACAAATATTGAACAGCTCAGTTGGTGATATTATTACCAGTTATCCTATACTCACTCTACCGTTGTGTATAGTCTGTTGTATAAAATCTGTTTTACGTTTTACGGAAAATGATATTTTAGTTGATTGTTTCGAAGGTTATATTAATGTATTAAGTTTACCACTAATTAAAACCACCATTAAACTGCTCTAAAAAGCTGTTTTGGATGTTTGCTTTCTATGATTTAATGATTTAACAGTACCATATCTGTAGTGAAAATTGAAGATGTTGATTAAATCTTGTGAAAAATCACGGTTGATCACTATTGATCTGTTTAAGACAAGAATCAAAGCAATTTTGCAGCAATGTGTGGTTCACTGTGAAAACTGTTTGTTGCGTGATATTCGTTTAATTGTTGTACTTTTTCACACACGAAATTCACAATCTAATGGTTAAATCGCAGGCTTAAAAAAAACTTCTCACCGATTATGTTCCAGCAAATTCTTCCCTTTTAGTTTGTTTTAGTCTTTTAAATGTCTTTTGAACGCATCATGTACTCCCAGACGTTTTTAAAATGTTTTCGAACTTTCCTTTCTCAAGCTAAGAACAAAACAAAGGAAAAACGTTCCACTGGTTGGAAAGGGATTTGTAAATGCTCAAAAATACACCATAATACTATTCTTAGGATGCCTGTATGGGACTGTGAATTTTTGTGCTGGCTGACTGAACTGCCACCATCAAACTTACACTCGATTTTGTGTTAATTTCCGAATCGAGAACAGATGCTAATGTGTATTACCAGCTATCCGTTTCACATTTATGCCTTCAATACTGTTATTATTAAAACTATACAGACGTAATAATTTCTTTTAAAAATATTGTACGGATAGCGAATCTGTTGAAATATTCCATGCTGAAAGTTCCGTACTGTATCATGCATGTTGTTTGAAATAAAGCGATTATTATCATTATTCTGTTAACGTTTCTTGTTATTATATATCACCGGTGATCTTCCTGATTGTGGTCAACTGGATCATGCAGCAAACCGTGAGGAGCGAGAAAATAGGCATACTCTGGCTGGACCGATGAAAAGAGCCTAGAAGATTTGGATTTCGCTGATAATGATTTGTGTCTAATATCGCACAAACTCGACAATCTGCAGGAAAAATCCAACAAGTTGACAGAAGAGGCGAGACAGCGGAGGAAGACGGGACTTCAAGTGAACGTAGAGAAGACAGAGGTGATGAAGATACCCAACTAATCACCATCAACAGGAGAAACTTAAACGGGATAGCCTCTTTCACCTACCTGCTTAGGCAGCACCGTTTCTATTACAGACGGCACAGATGAGGACGTCGAAGCCAGAATCGGAAAGAGCAAGACAGGCCTTCCTGCATCAATGTGAAACCAGTGTGCAGATCTACTGCACTGCACTCAGTATAAAGAGTGAACAATATCCGGATTTTCAACACTAATGTCAGTCCAGTCAGTGCTTCTATGTGGTTGGGATGGTTGAGAGACTTGGCGTGTTATGAAAAGCACTTCCAAGGAACTACAGACATTCATCAACACTTGCCACCTACACATGGTACTGAAGATCAGATGGCCAGGAGGAATAAGTGACCAGGAACTGTGGCTGGCTGTGAACGAACCAACCAAGAACCCATCACTCAATAAATATGCGGAAGGAAGTGAAGATGGATTTGACTGGGCATACACTGAGAAGTTGATTTGGGGACATCACGTGCCAGGCGCTGTAATGGAACCTGAAGGGGAAACGACGAGTTGGGCGTCTGAGGCGAGGGTGTCATGGAGGAGATCATGTGAGGAAGAAATGAAAGCTTGTGGGCAGTTGTGGAGCGAGGTTCGAAAGATTGCAGAGAATAGAGTGTAATGGAGGTGTGCTACTGGAACTGTATGTCCCACTAGGAACCCAATGGACAAATAATAATAATAATGATAATATATATGTATATACACTGCACTAAAACAGGTTACTCAGTAAATCTGTCTATGCGCTGTTACCATCTCATCCTTTTGCTTTTTTTTCCATTCCTACTTCACAGACAGTGATTGGAGGTTGTATTTAATTAGTGAGAGTAAACCTATGGGTAAACTACCGGACGGTTTGGAAGTACGTCGAATCAGTCGAGTAACAATATTGGTGTTGAACACATCTCCAATCGGTGAACTCAATCTAAGTGTAAGAGTCATTATCATATTGGTCATTATTTATTCTTAAATACTTTTTGCGTTTTATTTTATTCGAACCTTAATTTGGTAGAATCATTTTTAAGGTGTTGTTCATCAGTCAATGCCTGTGTGAGTTTTTGCACTGTATCCTGAGTTCTTTTCTCTGGGATTCAGTTTTTATTACTTTCTCGATCGCAAGTGATACTCTGGTTGTCGACAGGACGATTATTAGCTCTCCATAAATGGAGTATTTTTCCCCAATGGCTAAATATTTCTGACTCGACTTATGCTATTTCTTTATAGGTGTAGCTTTTATGTGACTGTGAAAGTTACTGTACTGCTACCTATGTAACTGCACGCTAGACTTATTAACCGAACTCGACATGACTTGATACGCTCAACCCGATATAATAAAATGGTGATCATTTCGGCTTTCAACTAAATAACCGTCGAAAGACAGATGGTGTCTTGTTTTATTTCAAAAATGTCATGATTTCAAAACTAACGTCAAAATGTCTACTGTATTCTTTCTTGCAACCGTATTTATAGCCTGCTTTACAAATCTTCATTTCATACGTTATTTTTCTCAGTGTGTTTAAAGAACACTGTGCCGCCTTTATAATGTAGGAATCTTGATGCCCAGCAGGAATCATCATGATTCAGAATGTTACCCTTTTCCAATATGCTAATGATTTCCACTTATCTGTTTTAGTTAACTTCATCATTTTTGTTCCACACTTTGTTTCTGTTTTAAAAACATAATTGTATTATATCTGAAAATAAAAATTAAGAATATGCCAAAAAAACTATATCTGGTGCAAAAGAAGTGGCTATCTTGACTCGATTGCTTAGTGCGTAACGTTCTGGTATTTAAAGCGCTCGGACCCGGGTTTTAGTCTTTGTGGAAACAATACCACTCACTGGGAGGCAGGTATGTCCAGATGACGAGCCCCAAATAGGACAAAACGCGCCTTTTAGATTCCACTACTGTTTACTATTCATCATTACCATATGCCAAATGTACTTATATAGTGTTTGTCTTATCTCTTGTCTACACGATTTACACTGATCAAGTTATAACATGTACTCAAATTCAGAAGATAACTAGTTTTTGTTGATTTTGCTTAGAACTCACTTTTGTATAGATGGATAAGAAAATAACTTATCAGATCATGTTAATTTGTTGCTATTTACTGTTTAAACATGCGATGACTTGTACAGATCTCATTCTCTGAACAAACAGCTTGCACGACGTTGCATCACCTTTGAAGTTTCTTTTTACCGGATTGGGATTTCACAAGTATAATTCCTCTACAAACCATTCATGCAATCCTCAATTGATTCAGCTCCATCAGGTCAAATTTCTTTCCTGAAGTCTGCAAAATTAATTGTTGTATTCTATTAAAGGGACACAAGTGTATTTACCGTATATATAAGGGGATCTGATGTAAGGGAAATGTGCCTACTTTTATGGAGATTAACAGAAAGTGTAGTCATAGACCAATTTAAAGTGGTCAGGAGCATGGCTTATTGTTGTTCAAAGCGACAGAGACTTGATCTTTCCACGAATGATTATTTGATTTATTAGATGAGGTTTGTTTCACATTTGGCTTTTTGTAATTTTAGCTTTCTTTGGATTATTGGTTTGTGAAACTGTCTATGCCAAAGCAAAACTAATGTGATTATTCATTATGAATTCGAAGTAATTCACATCCAATGATCGGTGAAATTTCAGTGTGGCATAGTAATATCACAGATGTTAATTTCGCAAGTTTTGGGGGGCCTATCTCAATGTTCCATTCAGGTTCCGACTGGATATCAGGCAACGGAGTGGGCGAGTCGAACTGTTCCTCGAAGCCCTTTGCCCATCATTCCAGTCGTCTCCCCTGGTAGTGAATCACAGACCCATCCTTCTCCACTACAGTCTCACTAACCGTTGACTTTTTCGCTCCAGTTTCTTCAATCAGTCTAAATAATTGTCTGTTATTACCTATCGCCATTGTCTTTTCCATCTCCTTAACCTTCGCTGCCTACCAGTGTTTGTAGTCATTGCGCAGACTTTTGTCAGTCTATATTTGAGTTGCGTTCGCTCCTCGTTGCATTCAGGCATGCGTTTGGATGCATCTATTAATTCAGAAGCTACTGATATCCGCTGACACTTTTTAACCACTCTTTCAGAGTCGGCTACGGTCTTCCACATTGTTTTCACAGCAGACTTGAGATGATACCAAGCTTCATCTGAATACATGTTAGTGTTCTGTTCCGATAAATGCCTGGCCAATTTCTCACTGAAAGCGACCATCGTGCTCTCATTATCGAGCTCCACTCGTAATAGTCTTGTTGCTGTTGTTGTTTGCCACGCATACAACTGATGTTACGATTTTTCTTCATTGTTTTTATGCTATTTCTTTACTTCAAACTTTCATTAGATCCCTTAGTAGTTAGACAAAAACGAAAGAATAGGATAAGGTCGTAGAAACAAGCGACGTTTTTATGATGGTTACTGTTTCAATATGAATTATTAACATGGTATTTATCATCGTAGCCTAGTTACACCTATTAATACTAATAATAAACACATAAGAAAAGAATTTGTATGGATTTATTTTTCGTTTGACCTTGAAAGTATGTTAACATCTCTTCAACCACTCAAAAATGTTCATTTTCTATCAGTCAATTTTTACTGTTGGATGCCTACTTATGTGTGTATAGCTGTCAAACTTATGACTTCTAGAGATATTCAAATGGATTATAAGTTGGTTTTTATCTTTACGTTATTGTATTAATCCTTTTTTAAGCATAAATACACTAGTGATGTTCATCTTGGATGCTGTATGTGTGCAGCGAAATAATATTGTAAAAGTTTTCCTTAAAAGCAGAATGCTATGCTTACTAGTTGTTGCTACCACATGTATGTGATGTGATTGAATAACTTATGCATTATTTGCAGGTTTTTCTGTTCTCCTTGAAATTCTCCACCATTGAGTAATATTTTATAAGTGCAGTGAACAGTGAGTAGTGTAGCAGACACTGAGAGATAGAGTTCTGTTGAGTAACTACTGATGAAACATATGAATAGAGTTGTTTGAATAATAACTGTTCATGACAGCCCAAACTATTGACGTATTACCATTATCCTAATGTCAGAAATTATAACTACTGACTAGCTAACTGATGTTACAGTTTACTCGGTGGTGGCTAACAGTAGGATACAGGCCGCGCGTTTCGTCCCATTTGGGACTCATCAGCTGGATGTGTCTACACCTCAGTAAGTGATCGTGTTCCGATTGAGACTTAGGTGTTACTTGCTGATACCTTTAATTCCTGATTGTTATAGTGAATGGAATTGCTCGGCCTCTGTTTGAATTACGACCGTCAGCAAATAATAATAATATCTAATACCCGTTGCATGAGAGATGGTTCTCGTGCCGCAGTAGCCTAGTGGATGACGCCTTGGCGTTTGAAGTGACGGACACGGGGTTCAAGTCTCAGTGAGAAAACGACCACTCACTGGGGCTCAAGTATCTCCAACTGACAAATCCTAAGTACAGCGAGACGCATATCCTGGATTCCACTTCTAGCCAGCACCAAGTAGATTATAACAGTGAATATTCAGGCAATATCAAGGCATTCGCATACGAACCCATACGTCAGCACAACAACGCGGAATTACAAGTATCAACAAATAATGATAGTTGTTGACACATTTATTTTATAATGAATTGGCTGTTAGGTACATAAATAAGGTAAGTATAATTGTAAACTACTTATTTGGTAACAGATATTTCGTAGCATGATATAAAAGCTGGCAAGCAGGCGTTTAATTCTTGTTTATAAATGTACAACTACATTTCTTTCCGCTATATCACATCCTCCCCTTAATGATGTGGGTTCATTGAATGATATAAGGAGAAAGTCTATGGTACTTCTTAGAAAACTAATTACTACAGTGAAGGCGAAGTATCGAAAAGGTTTTTGTCTATGATTTTCGTTATTCGTTGCCGGAGTGGGCTGATTGGCAAACAGTCGGACGGGAGGAAATGTTCGGTACAATGATTGCGAATGGAAAACATAAGTCACATTTGCAAACTGCATACGGCAATCAGGCGAAACAGGAGATAGCAACTAAAGGCGCTTAGTGCCCGAGGTTTTATTGAATATTTTGTTATTCCACAGTAAAGAGTACTGGATACAGACCAACCTACGGTGAAACAATGAAAGAGATCGAATATTATCCAAGTAGACCTCAAAAATCAGTCTTTATTGGAGAGCGATCTCTTTAGGTCACTGGGTATTCTGGAAGACGTTTGGAGCTTCATTCTTCGACCTATGTTCCTGTTTGGCAAGGATAGTCTTATCGGATAGTTTAGCACTTTAATGAATTAGTAAGAATCAAGTAGTTGGTAATTTTTCCGATCGAAATTGTTTCCACCATCACAGATAAACCTTCGTAAGGTATAATGTACTGAGAGGAAGAAAATGCGTTCTTTCACTGTTTGAACAACTGTTTACTGAATATCTTTACTTACTTTCTAGTTCAGTCAGTCATTTCATGCATCATTCCTCTGAAATGTGTATATACATTCAGTTGAAAGCTATTGGGTTATGATGTCACTGAAAGGAAATAAGAAATATTAACATTTTTATGGAAAATGTAACTTGTTTTATTATCCGATGCCATATCCGAAGATACCTGAAACTGTTACTTCTTGCAACTATCGGCTTTATGCCATCTAGCTTCAGATGATGATAAATTACTAGCCTAGGGAGCTAAAATCTATTTCCGAATATAGATATGCTTCGATATTCTATTAATCTGTATTGTTAACTTTAACGTGTTTTAGTTTCCAACACAACCTTGCCTCATTTAACTTTTAAGTAATTAAACTTTCAAACAATATTGTCCGCTTATTATGTCTTCTAATTTTGACAGTGAGAATTTTTAACATGATTACACTTACAACGAGTAATAGTTATGTAGTTAGTCTTGGTTGTTTAGTTTGACGTTTC